GGTTAATTTGGTCAAACAAAAAACCCTGAATCTCTCAGAAAATTATTTAAAAAGCAGGAAAGAATTGAGGCCTGGGATTTTCTACCCATGATGCCTGTATGCTAGCACATTTCTTAGCTTGGGATAAAAATACAAATTATGTTAATTTATGGAAAGATATGGAAGCTCAGGAGTTTAAAAAAGACATACTTTATAAATGTTTTTGGATAGACAATCGTTGCCCATTATACAAAATTACATTAAACCCAATCGTTAAAGCGATACTGACAACGATTTTAAACATTAGGAAATAATTTAATCTAACTAATGGTTTGGCTCTATCTTCCCTCACAGACATATTAGAAATCAACATAAAAGATCTGAGTTTGAAGAATTTTAGGAGATGTGGGATAAATCAAGTATCGAACATTTATACTAACGGTAACATAATTCCATTTCAATTGCTGCAATTTAATAATTCTTTACCATCAAGTGAAGTGTTTACGTACTTGAGAGTCAAAAACTATTTAAACTCAAAACTGATAATATAACACAATGATATTATTGACTTTTTAGATATCTATAGTCCTTTGAAGAGAATATCCCGCTCACTTAAATTTCTCTATATTTCTGAAACCTTCGTTAAAGAGTCCCCGATAATAAAATGGGAACTTGACCTCAATAAATCATTTGAAATCCAATCCTGGAAACAAAGCATTAAATGGGTTAAACAAAGTACGGTACACATTGTGTAAACTTGATCGAGCTTTATTATAAAGTACTATACAGGTGGTACATGGTCCCTACAATACTAAATAAAATACATAGTGACCATTCTGATCAATGCTGGAGATAAAGTAACGCTTGAGGATGTTATTTGCATATTTGGTGGGAATGTTCAGGGTTGGATAGTTTAAAAACAAACCTCAGAAGACTTTTAAAAGGGAAAGACATTTACTTGGCCCCACATAATTTTATTTTTCATTTAAATCGCCCTTGTGAGAAACCTCTTTCTTTTCTAATAAATCATATTATGTTGGCTGCAAAAATTTGTGTAGTGAGAAATTGGAAAAAAAACAAGGACATTAAAAATTGGTACAAATAATAGATTAAATCAGTTGTCAATGTTTAATCGAAAAAGGATATTATCTAATGAACAACCAAGGGAGTCTATATTCAGAAATTTTGAATAAGTGGCAAACATCTTCCTTTGTTATCAGTGAAGTACAACGATTACTATATAGGAAAGGCAAGCAAAATTAAGCATGGTATATGATAAAACGTACTTTTACGTCATTGCCCTCCTCCCTCTACTCCCCCTGTGTCAGTATGAATAGTGATTAATAGATTTGTAAGTAGGTAAGAATATAAATAAAATATGATGTATTATTGTTATTTAATATCAACAATGTATATGCATTTTTTTATACTCTTCTTTTTTTTGTAACATTAATATCTGAATAAAGATAAAAAAAAAAAAAAAATACTGCTCAGTGTTAAATACAACCTTGCACAGTGCCATTTTAACAGCATTATGGGCTCCCGGGTAAAGCAGTGCACTGGGGCCCTGTCTATATAACAACTCACAGAAATAAAAATGTAAATTATCGATCAAATTAACCTTATATTTATTGGTACCTTCAACAAATGTAATAGATACATACACACAGACTCAGTAAAAAAATAGCGCTTTTTAATAATATATGGAAGACATGCAATCACACTCTGGTGCCGGCACTCGCTAGTGACGTCATCAGGCATACAACGTCAGGACGTTAGGATGTGCAAAAACAGAAGCGCCTGAATGTAACGTGATGATGAAAGAGGGGACCACGGACCAGAACCACTAATGCCGATTACGAAATGGCGCCAAATTTGAGATTTAAAAGGAAGAGCATAGAGGATAACAGATACAATCCACTTCTGAGGAAGGCAATCAGCCGAAACACGTCAACTGGCCAATGGACTTAATGTTTTATGTTAGGTCGTTTTTTTTATTTATATTTCTGTCCAATTTTTACCACCTATTTCCTGCATCCTGGATCTTTGTTGGTAAAATACCGGAAAACTTAAGATTGGAAAATAAATACCCAGACCCACTACAAGTATCCACTGCATCCTCCATTTCAAGCTACTAGTCTGAGCCAGCTTTTGTTAAGTGGCTTAGAACCATATTCCACTCTACAATATATTGTGGTAATTTATTTATGCACTGAGTGCTCTCACTGTTCTATTGTATATTTATACACACAGACTGCTGAATATAGTCACAGACTGCTAAATACACGCACACAGACTGTTGAATACACACACTGACTGACTGCGGAGTACACACACGCAGACTACTGAATGCACACACTGACTGCTGAGTACACAGAGACAGACTACTGAATACATACACACAATCTGCTAAATACACACACAAACACACACAGAGACTGCTGAATACACACATGCAGACTGCTGAATACAAACATGCTGCTGAATACACACACACACTGGTGAATATACACACAGAGATTGCTAAATACACCCAGACTGATGAATACAAACACACACACACACTGCTGAATACACCCAGACTGCAGTGAGGGGTGCTGTGTATGTGTTTGTGTGTGAGGGGTACAATGTGTTTGTGAGGGGTGCTATGTGTGTGTGTGTGTGTGTGTGTGTGTATGAGAGGGTGTTGTGTGTGTAAAGGGTGCAGTGTTTGTGCATGAGGGGTGCAGTGTGTTTGTGAAGGTTGCTGTGTGTGAGGAGTGCTGTGTGTGTGTGTATAAAAGGGTGCTGTGTGTGAGAGGTGCTGTGTGTGTGTGTGAAGGGTGCAGTGTTTGTGCATGGGGGTGCAGTTTGTGTTTGTGAAGGGTGCTGTGTGTGAATGTGTGTGTGTGTGTGTGTGTGAGAGAGAGGGTGCTGCGTATAAGGGGTGCTGTGTGTGTGTGTGTGTGTGTGTGTGTGTGAGAGGGTTGCAGAGTGTGAGGGATGCAGGGTGCAAATGTTTTTTTGTTGTTGTTTCTTAAATCATTAAACAAATAAATAATGATTAATAAAATATTTATGTTCCCTCCACCCTTCTCCTTACCTTTGGTGAAGGAGGGGGGACACAGCCTGCCCTGGTGGTCCGGTGGTGAGTTCTGTTTAGCCTGCAGCTCCACTGGCTGCAGGCTATCTTCACTCCTCCCGCGTGTAGAATGCTATGTGGAGCAACGCTCCACACAGCCTGCTCTCGCGAGGAGTGATCTTCCTCCGAGGTCACTCCCCCTTCCTTCCCTATCAAAGGGCCCTTGGGCTGTTGAGGGAGAACTCTGATCTCCGTATTGGCCCGAGAGGGCCCACGGCCATAAAACAGGGCCGCCTCTCCAGCGCAGTGGATCCCCCATGCTTGTGGGGCCCCCGGGCAACTGCCCAGTGTGCCCATGCAGAAAGACGGCACTGGCAAAGCATTGTGGGAGTTGTAAGAAACATGGGGATCTATATTTTGTCCATCCTTGCAATAGGGAGGCCCAAAGAATTCTTACACCAGGGCCCTCACAATGTAAGTTCCGCCAATGAAAAGAGGCACCCACTCAGGTGGTCATCGGTACTTTTTTGGTAGAACCAAACAAGGCACTGGCATCCACCATTTTAGCATTTTGAGAAAAGTAATTATTTTCACCAGGGCCGGTGCAAGGATTTTTGCCGCCCTAGGCAAAAAATAATTTGCTCTCTCCCCCATGTGGTGACATCAGAAGGTCCTACTCCTATGAGCCACACGTGTCATGACATCAAGTATTCCCCATCCCTTTTTATGATATTTACATTAATCCAAAGATAATTCACATTCAGCTACATTTATTAGATTTGTGCTGAAATCATCATTCCTGGGGTACTGCAGTTTGCTGGCGAGATCCCCCTTTCTCTATGTTGATGCACAGAGGGCAGCGAGTACACAGATGCTGCACCCTTACGCTGCAGTACCTAGCCTAATGGGATGGATGTAGCAGTCTCCAAGGTGCACTGGGCACCAGCAGCCAGCAGAAAGAGTCTGGCTGTGCTGTGTGTAAAGGCTGTGCTGCGGCCACATGTGCCCTGTACGGCTGCCATCATCCATACATACTAAGTGCCTGCCAGTGCCATACACACAACCCATGGGGCCCCGGTGAGAAAACTGATCCGTGGCTCTCCCCCCCCGTGCGCTTACTCTGCGCGGGCTGGGGCTGCAACACATGGCGGTGGGCACCTGGTCGCAGGGCTGCGACCGCGGTATGTACGCCAGTGCATGCAGATACACATACACTTAAAGGACCACTACAGACACCCAGATCACATTAGCTCAATGAAGTGGTCTGGTTGCCAGGTCCCTCTAGTTTTAACCATGCAGCTGAAAACATAGCAGTTCCAGAGCCACTGAGGGTTACTCCAGCCTCTAGTGGCTGTCTCATTGAGGAAAATCACAGTGAGAAGACGCTGAGCGTCCATAGGAAAGCATTGAGTAATGCTTTCCTATGGGCGGTTTGAATGCGCGCACGGCTCTTGCCACACATGCGCATTCGGAGCTTAGAGGCGGATCGGGGCGGAGAGATCCCCAGCGCCAAGGTAGTCCGGTGCTGGAGAAAGGTAAGTGCTTAAGACACACACACTCTCACGAACAGACGCACACATTTACTGACAGACATACATACACACTCACTGAGACAGACACACACTCACTCACAAAACACACACTCACTAACAGACACACACAAACTAACACACTCAGTGACAGACACACACAGTAACACACTCACTGACACACTCTAACACTAAGACACACTCTAACACACACACTAACACTAACACACATTAACACACACTCTAACACTAACACACACACTCTAACACTAACACACACACACACACACTAACACACACACACACACTCTAACACACACACACGGTTTTTAAAAAAATGTTAATCCCCCCCAGCCTCCTTATCTGTGGAAGAGCTGAGGGGATTCCCTTGGGGTCGAGTGGTGTCACCCGGCGGGCAGGCAGGCTGGAGGGTGCGCGAGGGAGCACTCTCCCCTGAATGCTTCCTCTTCAGCTCCCTCATGCGCCACGTACTGATGCCGGGGCTGGAAGATGATGTCATCTTCCGGCTCCGGTATCAGTGCGGTGCGGGAGGGAGCTGAAGAGAAAGCACACAGGGGAGAGTGCTCCCTCGCACGCCCGCCAGCCTGCCTGCCCGGTGATACCAGGGCCAGCCTGTGGGGGCCCTGTGGTGGCCAGCTCCTGGCCCCTCCAGGAAAAGAGGCTGGCCACAGTGGGTACATACCGGGTCGCAGGGTAACCAGGCCCCCTGGTGGGCCAGGCCCAGTTGCAGCCGCGACCCCTGCGACCCCCGGTATGTACGCCACTGGTGCCTGCCTCTACAGCAGTCTGGCCAACTGCCTAGTATTAGTGCTCTTTGCTGGGTATGCCTGGGCAGCTCATTTTCCCAGAGTCCAGAAAAACGCTGCATGCTCTGCATAGGCATGCGCAGTCCATTTTGTGTACATCGGGAAAATCCCTGTGTTATTTTTTTAATGTTATGTAATGTGAATATTTAATAAAATGTTGAGTGGATGTGTGGTGTTTGCATGTCTTGTGTAGGTGGAAGATAGCTGTAAATGATGTAGATATGTGTGGTGTGTTTTGTGACTTTCTGTGCGTGATGTATAAGGCTGGCTGCATATCGGTAACTGTGTAGCTGTGTGAGTAACTGTGAGTGATAAGTTTGGGCATCTGTGAGTGTTTTGTGTGGCAATGTGTGTTTGTGCAAAATAAATGTGGGAAGTTGTGGAATTTCAGCACTAGGGCTATCAAAACCTGTAGTGGGGGGTCAGGTGCAGTACTAGGGAGTTAGGACCTGTAGTGGGGGGTCAGGACCTGTAGTGGGAGGTCAGGATCTGTAGTAGGGTGTGAGGGGCAATAGGGGGATCAGGACCTGTAGTTGGAGTTAGTGGCGGTTGTGGGAAGTCAGGACCTGTAGAGGGGAGTTAGGGGCAGTAGTGTGGGGTTAGAAAGGTCATGAGCCGTAGTGGGGGGATAGGGCCTGTAGTGGAGTGTTAAAGACTGTAGTGGGTGGTAAAGGGCTGAAGTGGGGGTTTACGAGATGTAGTGGGTTAATAAAGAGCTGAGGGGAAGGTTAAAAAAATAAAAACACTTTTTTAAAATTGAACAAAAAGTCAAGCAATGTTTCTTCCTCCCCCCTAAAGCTTACCTTGGGCTGGGGGGGGGGGGGATCCTGATCCCTGGTGGTCCAGTGGGAAATGCAACATGTGTGCACCCCCAGTGGCCGGCATCAGGAAATGTATCACAGCATTGCTGCGGTAACTTATGACAACACTCTAACACAGCAGCAGAAGGAGCAATGAACTTGGCATAGAAGTACAGACCAAGTTCTACCTCCTCGGGATCAGGTATGGTGATCATTTGCTGGGGCGAGAGGTAGACAACACAGTGCCGGTCAGTGAGACCTTTTGATCTCCCAGTTGGCTTGTTTAACAGCCGGCGCTCTGCTGCGGCGCTCCCAGTGAGCTGGCACCCTAGGCCACCGCCAAAGTGGCCTAATGGTAGCGTCATCCCTGATCTGAGCAATCAGGTGTATCATAAGCCATATCAATGGTTTCCTCATTATCATTTAAGACGTTATAGTGGTAAATAAAGGAACCAGCTGCAGTTACAATACAGACTCCAACTACACTACACAGCACCTCGTACAGATCCCCAACATGCCGGCCTCTCTGACCTGCCTATCTATAAACTGAAAAGGGCTTAACAACACATCCAAAAGGCATCAACTTATGCGGTGGGCGAACAGAACGACAGCGGATATACTCTTACTGCAAGAAACGCACTTCACCCAGGAAAAAAACGAGTCGACACTACAAGGCAAACTTTTTTGCAAACTCTCCCACAGGTAAACAAAGCGGAGTGGCTATTGTAATTCGCAAGTTGTGCCCACTATCCATTAACCGAACAATTGCGGACCCTCAAGATCGATACGTCACGATTGCAGGCAGGATAGGAATACAAAAATATGCATTCACATCAGTATACCCCCCCAATATCCCTTCTTGTTAATTTTGGCAGTCACTAAGGGCCCACTTGACTCTCTTTCCCTCACATCACTTAGTGCTGGGAGGTTATTACAATGCCACACTTTCTCCCACAGTGGACAGGTACCGGGCTACCCCTCAAACACGCCTCCAACTTTCAACGACCAAAGCAGATAAAATGTTCTCCACCTTTGTTTCCAGATTTTGCCTGATAGACGCATGGAGATACCATCATCTAACAGACTTTGATTACACATACTACTCTCACCCGCCCCAACACACACTATGCATTGACCTTTTCTTGTTCTTCTCAACGCTGGCGCCCTTGGTCAAAACTTTAACTGTAGGATCCATTACATGGTCAGACCATGCAGACATAACATTTACAATTACATTGCCCAACACGACCAAACCATGGTCATGGCGTTTGAACCCCACCTTGATATACAACCCTCAAATCCGGGAGTCTATCCTACAAACACTGACAGAATACTTTCACTTAAACACAAACACAGTAGAATCTAAATGCACACTATGGGCAGCCCACAAACCTGTCTTAAGAGGTACACTCATTAGCCTAGCGACAACCTACAAAAAACAACAACTGGAACAACTACTTCCACACTGGAGAACCTTAGGGCCCTCAAAACTAAATTAAAGCAAAACCCCATGCTGGACTTGAACGCTCAAATCTCCAAATGCCAAGCAGCTATCAAAGAATTCATGGCGAGAGACTTGGTTAAAGCTCTCCAGTGGACTAAACAACTCTATTACGAGAAGTCTAATAAGCTCGGAAGTCTAGCTTGGAAACTAAAATGAAAACTGCCCAAAAACAAATAGATAAAATAAAGGCCCCAGACGGGACCCAGACGGAAAAACCAGAACAGATAGACGTATTTCAGAAAAACTTCACCACTCTTTACAAACATAACCCTCAAACGCGCCAGTACCTAGCCTCAACCAAAACTCTAATAGACCACTACCTAGACCAGATACCACTACCATCCCTTAGCAGAGAGGCAGCAGAGAAGCTCACTGAATCAATCACACCGGAAGAAATCGCAGTCATATTAAAAACACTCAAACCGAACAAATGCACAGGGCCAGACGGTTTCATGGGATTATATTTCAAAACATTTGTGCCGACCCTAACCCCACACTTATGCAACCTTTTCAATGTAATCCTAAAGGGAGAGGCATTAGCCCCAAGACATGCTCCAAGCTAAAATCTGCCTTATCCCCAAACCCAACAAGACACATCTAGACCCAGGCTATTTCCGATCGATTTCACTATTGAATGTTGAAATCAAATTATTCTCAAAACTCTTAGTGGAAAGACTCTGCCCTTTCCTACCAAAACTAACACACCCATGCCAAGTAGGATTCATCCCTAACAGACAGGCTAGTGACAATACAAGACATTTGACCTAATATGGAAAGCCCACACTAGACAGATCCCAACCCTCATGCTTTTCCTCGATGCGGAAAAAGCATTTGACAGACTACTGCGGCCCTTCCTCTTTGCAACCCTCCACAAATTCGGAATTCCAACCCCTATCATAGATGCCCTAAAAATACTGTATGCAGCCCCTACTGCTAACTTTCTAATCCCACTCTCACACCCACCGACTTTCCAGACACGAGACAAGGTGCCCACTCTTCCCCATCCTCTTCACTTTATCTCTGGAACTGATACTACAAACTCTTCATTGAGACGCGACCATTAAGGGCCTGAAAACATGAGAGGAAGAATAAAAGACTGCAGCATACACAAGACTTCTGGCAGCACTGGAAGACTACGCCCAAGTTTCGGGCTAAAAACTAAACAATGACAAAACCGAAGCCCTACCAATACACATAGCCCCACCAATTATTAATGACTTGAAACAAGCCTATCCCTTTGACCTCCACACCATGCAGATACATTACTTAGGAGTCCATCTGCCAGCAGACCTAACACGATGCTACCGACTGAATTACAAGCATCATTACACAATCTTACAGAAAATCACTCAAGACATACTTACATGGAAAGACATGTCAATATCGTGGCTGGGAAGGCTGGCCTCCATTAAAATTAATGTATTACCAAGGCTCTTATATCTTTTTCAAGCTCTTCCAATACCAATTTCGGAGGCCCGATTTTAAAGAACTCCAAACGACTATAGACAAATTTAGCTGGGCTAACAGAAAGGCCAGGATCAAACCCTGCAGCATACCAACCTGACCACCCTATATTCCTGCTGGACATCCAACTTGCTTAAATCAATAGTGGACTTTAAATTTACTTTGAGGCTATCTATGTTACTCCTACATCGGATTTACTGATATTCCAAACTATATTTGCATCTATCATAAAAGATCTGCTACTACAATACAACCTCTTATCCAAAGAGACTGAACATCTACAACCCTATTTAAGTATTCTTAATATTTCTGTTTAGTTGTTCTTTATATCCTGTTCTGGGGATTATTGCCTAAATCCTGTTTCTTATTCCCACTATATTGTACCTATAATCTCTCTTATAGGTTTATCTGCAGTTATCCTACCTATAACTTCTTTTATAGGTTTACCTTATTTCCGCTTTGGGCTTGTAGTCTAAATCCTTTATTTCATAGTCTACTTACTTCCCTGTAATTTCAGACATTCTGTTCTGTTTACTATCTTTCTTTCCTATAACTACAATTATAGGATATCCTGTTCTTACTAGAATGTCTAAGATAACAAATAAAGACCCTGAAATTAACCCCAGTTTCGGTCTCATCCCTGACCTGCACAAGATCATGACACCCATTGCCACTTATGCCGATACTTCAAAATGTGCAATTCACCCCGGGAATGAACCCCAATGATTTTGTGTGCTTCAAGGATAACAATCTCACCCATCTGACCCACTTCTTTACCAACCAACAAATAATACCATTCACAGACCTCCCACAGACCACCCCCTTCTGGACCTTCAATTTCTTCCGACATATACAGATCAAAAGCTTCCTTGACAATTAGGACATCAAAAAAAGCAGGTACTAAGGCCCTCACACCCTTTGAAAGACAATGCATGCACCACCCGGTCCAAAAAGGACAGATATCAGCACTATACTCAAACATCATATAAAATCACAGGGACT